AATTGCTGCTTGTTCTGATGCACAAATCATACCATTATCAAATGATTTTGACATAACTACATCATTTGCTGCTTGTTTAATATTACATGTCTTTTCAATATATGTTGGTACATTTCCTGCTCCTACTCCAAGTGCTGGTTTTCCTGATGAATATGCTGCTTTTACCATAGCATTTCCTCCTGTTGCAAGAATAGTTGCAACTCCTGGATGATTCATTAATTTATTTGATGCTTCAATTCCTCCAAATTCAATCCATTGAATACAATTTTCTGGTGCTCCTGCTGCAATAGCTGCATCTCTAACAATTTTAGCTGCCATAATTGAACATTTAAGTGCTGATGGATGGAATGAAAATACAATTGGATTTCTTGTCTTAATTGAAATAAGTGATTTGAAAATAGCTGTTGATGTTGGATTAGTAACTGGTGTAACTCCACAAACAACTCCAACTGGTTCTGCAATTTCTGTAATTCCATAAAGTGGATCTACATTAACAATACCAACTGTTTTAGCATGTCTCATTTCATGTGTAACATGTTCACATGCAAATATATTCTTAGTAGCTTTATCTTCAAAAATACCTCTTCCTGTTTCTTCAACTGCGGCTGCTGCAAGTGCACAATGTTGGTCAAGTGCTGCAACTGATGCTTTCTTTACAATATAATCTATTTTTTCTTGTGTAAATTCTGGTTTAAGATATTCTTTAAGTGCAACTTGTGCTTTAGCAACAAGTTGATTAATATGTTCATCTACAGTCATACTTTGTTGTGCAGACATGTTACTTATTTGTTTTGAATGAATAAAAATTACTGGGTCATGTTTAAATAGTCCTCTAATTTTCGAATAGGAGAAAGGAAAACAGGACAGGGTTGTAACTTTTCTTGAAATAGTATGTATTATTTATGATTTTTTAAGGAACATTTTAGAAATCGGACGAAAATTCATTTTTTTATTTTCCATTTTTTGAAAATAGTAACTCTTCTTTATCGGTCATAAAACGTGGCAGGGTTGTTCTTCTTATTATTTTTAGAATTTTTTATAAAATATTTTATTCCTTGTTTTCTTTTTATGTAAATTTCTTAACAACATTTTAAAGAATTTGAGATTTTTCATCTTGATATATTTTTGGGATATATTACATTTTTCTTTAATTTATTAAACAAATTTTTTATACAATTTTTTAATATAACTTAAATTAATTAAAACAAATAATACTTAAAAATCTATTAATATAGAATGGATTATAAAAAGAATATTATATGAAGCAAGTAATGTAGATAACAAAATAATGAATAAATATAGTAAAAATATAGTAAAAATATAGTAAAAAGAAATTATAGTCATAATACTTAAACAGGTGTAATGAATTGGAACAATTTTGAATTGCCACATGAACCATCAATTGATTTAGCAGACCAAGCTTTGTTATTTGATCCTTGTTTTAATAAGTATAAAAAGAAAAAAGGGTACTATGCTACAGGAGTACCTGTTGTAATGAAAGAAGGAGATGTATGTGAAGTACCAAATCAATTTGGAGTTCAAGAATTAGCTAATGCCATTCCATACTATACATCTCGGGTATTAGCAGAAAACCATACTATTGATGAAACACACAACTATTTTAATTTAATGCAAATAATTAATGTAAAAAATAAAAAGTATTTTATTTATTCTCATAAAGAAGGAGAGGTAGAACTTTGTTTATTTAATGGAGAAATTATTCCTAAAGGAAGTATTGTTTGTGGAGGTATTATCAGAAAAATTGTTGTTATTAAAGAGACATTATGGAAGAATCCGTCAACACCTATTACACCACCACCAATATTTTGTATTGCTAATGAAAGTAATATATTTGTATATGTTATGGAAAATGAAAATCCAATAAGAATAAACGAATTTCATATTAATGATAAAATTGATGATATTCAAATGATTTGTACTGATGACATTTATTTAATTATTGCTGTAAATAATAAAATTCATTTAATTTCAATAAATACAAAAGAAGATAATGAATATATAATTCCATATAGAGAAGGAGATGATGGGGAGGCGAGAATTACATTTAGCTTATTTCCTAAATTAATTATTTGTAGAGGTTTTGGTATGTATACATTAAATATATTAACTAAAGAAGTTGAAACAAAGTACGGATTTTCTGATAAAGTTTTTGCTTTAACAAGTCATATATATTTTCCATTTCATGTTATAGTTATAACTGAAACATCCCTTTTTATTATGGACACAAGAACATTTACTGGTGTTGCATCTCATCTTCATGTAATTCCAAAACAACATTTATATTATGACGTAGAATGTTTTTTTTATGAAAATAAATTAACATGTATTATTCCAACAGAACGTTATTGCATAATAGTCCCCTTTAAGTTTAATGTTGAAAAATTACAGTTTAGTACTGAATATGCCTCTTGTCTTGTTAAACTTCCATTAATACTTCCATTTATTAAAAAAAAATTACATTATAGGATTCTTGGGTTTTATGCAATTCCTCATGAAAATGAACTTATAATGATACTCATTGATACTGAAAGAAGAATTACTGCTCAAAAATTTACTTATGGAGAATACAATGAAGATATTAAAAAGCACTCTATTATTCTTTCTGAAAAACACACAGTAGAAAGACCTATACCATTATTTAGAAGAAAGATAGATATGTACCGTGAATTTTTAGATAAACAATTATCAAAGGAACCAGCTGTTAAAAAAAAGATAAAACAGGAAGTGTCTGAAAATAAAAACACTAAAGTCAAGAACATTGAATACAAACACACAGAAAATTTCTTTTATAATTACGCATTAAAAAAGTATGCAAAAAAAGATAAAGAAGAAATGGAACTTAGAAAAAAAGAATTACGCAAAAGAATTGAAAGTAAAAAACCAAAAGTAATAAAAGAACCTAAACCAAAGAAACCTCAAATCAAACTACCTAAAGAAAGGAAAAAGAGAGAAGGAAGTGGAATGGTATCACTTAATGCTCTTAGACGTCACAAACACTGATAAATTGCTATTGAAATTAAGTTATTAATTAAATAACATTATTATTAACAAAATAGGTTTTATGAAAAAACAAAATAATTTATATAGTTTTTTAATAATTAAATTATAATAAATGGTAAAAATTATAAAAAACACAACTTATAATTCATTTATGTCACGAGAAGAAGAAAATACAACTCTCTATGTAGTGGGGGTTCCTGAGTGTGCAGATGAAACAAGAATAAGAGAAGAATTTGGAAAATATGGAAAAATCGAAATAGTTACTATTTTGGCAAAAAGAGATCAATACAAAACACACACTGTCTTTGTTAAGTACTCTACTTTTGAAGAAGCAAAACGAGCAAAAAATCAGTTAAATTGCACTAATCCATTTGACAATGGACCAACAATGTCTGTTAAAATTGCAGATAAAGACCATAAAAGAAAGACTAGGGATGATGAAAGAAGGAGAACTGAAAGAGATAGAGAATGGGAGAGAGAGAGAAGAAAGAGTGGAATTAAAAGTATAGATAGGAGAGTTAATATTTTTTCTAAGCGAGAGGGTAGTAGTAGGTTTGATAATAGGCGTAGTGAATATAATGGGTATGATAAATTTCTTGAAGAAAAAGAACGAAGATATGCACCATATCAATATAACTCTGTTCTTCCTTCATATAACAGCTATTCAATGTCATCACAATATCATCCTTATACTCCAATTGCAAGTGGAATTGTTTCCCAACCAAAAAGTTATGGAGGAGAATATACATCAACATATATCCCAAGTGTTTCATATCAACCACAAACAATTTATCAACCGCCTCAAACAAGTCAAGGTAATTTAACACAACCAACACAATACAATTATAACCCTTATAAAAAATGATAAATAACAAAAGTGAAAAATGAATTTAATAAAGAAATAAAATTGAACTCATAGTCTTTGATAATAATTTAAAAGATAATTTACTTATTTCTATTTGTTCAACATAATTAATAACCTTAAATAACCTTCTATTTAAAAAAGGAAATTAAATTAAATTCTTATAAATACAAGAAGAATTAGAATTTTCATATTTGTAAGATGAATAAATAAATTGGTTGAATAATGGTTTAACTGAAGAAAATGAGTACATAGAAGAATATAATAAATTTGTTATTTCTTTATCATTTTGATAAAGAATTAATCCACCTTTTTTCATTCTATTTTGTATTTTAATATAAATTCTTTTTCCAAATTCATTACTTTGACTTAAATTAATAATACCATTATCAATTGCAATTGATTCAACTCGTTTCATTTGAATATAATCTTCTTTAGTACCTTTTCTAGTTTTTCTCTCTTTTAAGATTATATTATTTTGTTTTAATAACAAAATCATTAAATTATTTGTCATTGTATCCAAATATATTTTCTTTTCTTTAGATGACTTATCTTTTAAATCTTCTTGTTCTGCATCCCAAATTATTTGTTGTCTTAGACGAATTTTTGAAATAGGAAAACATTGCATTGTTGTAGTACTTCGTTTATGTGGTTTATTTAATTCAATATCAAATCCAATGTTATTTAATACTGCAATAAGAAACATTTGTTGAACTACAACTCTGTTTTGTGATTCTCTTTTTGCTACAAGTTGTTCTTTTTTTACTGCTTCATCACTATTATCTAATATGACATAAGAACCATCTTCATCTATTGTTAGTGGTATTTTAATAAAAGGACTACGAATCATATTTGTTAGTAAATTTAGTTCTCAATATCATTGACATATGACCACTAAATATTATAATTTTGGATTGTAGAATTGTTAATTAAAAAATCATAAATATTTTATTTTTTCTTCCTTTATGTTTGATGAGCTAAAACTCTCCACTTCTAAAAACTCAATACCTTCGAATAATCGAAAGTATAAATATAGAATTAAGTAAAATGATCTTTCATGAGTTAAATAAAATGTTAAGTCACTAAGAGATTTGGTTTAGAAAGAATATCTTTATTCACTCATCACCAAAAATGGAAATATATTCTGATTTAAATATTATTTCCAAAAATAGAAATGAGGGAATGGGCTCAGTTACTTGGTATCACTAATCATCGAAAATGATGGTTATTGTAAAAACAATTTGGTAATATTATTTCTATTGTTAAATATTCTTATTTGATACAGGTAAATATCCATACAATGATTGTATATTAGTATTATTTATTTACTTATATATTTTTTTCTTCATTGAATTAAAAAAACTATTTTAATTGTTTTTACTTTTTTTCTGGATAAACTATATCTTTTTAATTAATTTAATTTGAGGACTTAAATCTATTTGACCTTTTCTTCAAATAAAATAAGTTACTAAATGAATATACTATATCTCAATAACCATTCAAGATATAATAATTTTATTGTCATTATTAATCTAACTTCATACCCTCAATATATCAAATTGGAGAAAAATTATTTATCCTACATGATTGAATATTATTCTCAGTGTTGTTGAGTTGAAACAATTAACAAATTCTTTTTTTAAATATAATATATAAAATAAATAATTTATTAATTCCCAATACAATTTAATACAATGAAATTTACTTATCTCTTTATCAAAACATAATCTAATAAAACTTTGTTTAATGAAAATAAATGATGCCATTCGTCAAAATGGAATTAGAATATAGAATCCATATATAGATGAATATATCATTATTCTTTTAATTACAAAAATACAGATAAATGTCTAAATACTTTCAGTACACTTGGAATAATAAGTTAATACTTTGATAATTATTTTTTTTTAATAAATAAAGACATTACAAAATGAAAGAAATAGATAATTAGTTTGAGTATTTGCTTAAAATAAAATCATTGAACTAAATTCCAATAAATAAAAACATAAAAAATTGAATTAAAATGATTAAATAAAATATAGTCTACTCAATAAAAGACCAATAAGAATAAATACTTTCAAACCAAAAAACCAATAAGATGTGAATTTTGTTTTAGTCATGAAACAATACAGAGTTATAATATAACAAAAATTATGGAATTATAATACAAAGAGAAAAACCTTAATAATAGTTGTTATAAAAATACAAATCTGATGAATAACAGAATGAAAGGAATCTGAATATTTATCAGAATCCAAGCAATAAAATAACACAAAAATATAAAAATAAATACAAATGAAAAGTACTATGAAGTTATTTATAAAAAAGGTTAATAAAAATTAGTTAATTAACTGTTAATAATTTTATTTTCTATTATTCATTCTTCAGTGAAGATTATTTGTTTTAACATTGCATATTCTTTATATTAGTTTATTCTTTGATTTTATTTGTTGAATTGTGAAATTTTCATTTCTTCATTATTAATATAAAATAATTTATTTCAGATATTTCTAATTTAAATATTCATCATTTAAGTTATTATCTGATTTTAGTTAGTATAAAATTCTTCTTTATTTTCATATTTTAAGAAGAGTATATCATTATCACTATATCATTATGATTAATTTTCATTTTAACATCAACCATAACAACAGATAGTTTTTCATTGATAGTATGTATATTAACAAATACACCTGTATTCTAACAAATAAATAATACTATCATCTTTATAAATAAATACACATTTAATATAAATGATATTCAATCAACATAATTAATAATCACTGATATTCTCACAATATTGATTAATATGTTTTCTAACCAAATGCAACATCACAAATAGAGTATAACTGATGGTTCATGTCTTTGATTTGTTTTATGGTATGTGTAATGTCTCTGATGTATTACCTTCAAATCTCAACTGTTCATAAAAAGAGTATATAACCAAAATAAAGAAACAACAAAAATGAAATTAGACCAACTGAATTTAATAAACGTCTAGAACAAAGTATGACTATAACTAAACAACAAGTCCACAGTACAAAGCCAATGAATTAAAACAACAAACAATTTCTATTAATAAACTTCACTATATAAAAGTAAAACAAGAGAATTAAACAAAAATGAATAATTCAAAACAATTACTAAAATTATTTCATAAAACTGCAACAGCAAAAAAATTAGTGAAAAATTAATTGAATAAGCAACAGTGCTAAATTAACTCAGTATGTATTATACCTCTTATTTCTTAGCGGTCTTCTTAGCAGCAGCTTTCTTAACTACCTTCTTAGCAGCAGCCTTTTTAGCTGGCTTCTTAACTACTTTCTTAACAGATTTTTTAGCAACTTTCTTTGGAGTAACTTTTTTAACATTCTTTTTAATTTGTTTAAGTTGTGACTTAACAATATTTTGTGCAACTTTATCAGCAGCTTCAACTGATGGTTGTGCAGCAACTTTCATCATAAGTTTATCAACAATTTGTTCAATAGCAGTTTTAGCAACAGTTTCAACGTTATTTCTAGCAACACCATTTTCAACAGCAGCTGAAATAGCCTTAACAATCTTTGAATGTACTTTGGTGTAAGCAGCTTCAGCTTTTTTAGCAACAAAGGCTTGAACCTTAGCAGCATCGTTGTTGAACTTTTTAGCAGCTTTAGCGACATTAGATTGTGCAGCAACTTTAGCGGCAAGTGTAGCATATTTATTTGCAAGTTGTGAAGTAACTTTCTTAATAGTGGCTTGTGTCTTTAATCTTTCATCAACAAAGTTTCCTTCGTCTTCGAGTCCAACATGTCTTTCAATCTTATTGCTTCTAGCGATGCTATCTCTGAATGGAGCAGTGATTTTATCAGTTTCCTTTCTAATATCTCTCAACATATTAACTTTATGAATTCTAACTGAATGAAGTTTCTTTTGAATAGCCTCAATTTCAAGTTCAAGTCTTGCTCTATCCTCAGCAACAGTAGCATATTTAAGATCTCTGTAAAGGTAATAGAGTGAATCATTAAGATTTCTCTCTTGTTGTTCATCAGCTCTTATTTTATTATGAATGGCCTTAGTTTGTGCAGTAATAGTATTAATTCTACTTTGAATTACACAACTTCTTTTAAATGGTGAGTAGATTTCTTCAGCAGTAGCAAGTGCAATGAAGAGGAGAATAAATGCGTTCATGAAATTATAATTTTCAGTTATTAGTTCTTTCTTAAATACCTACTTATCTTATTATTTTATTTTTTTAACATTTATCTTTTTTATTTTTCTTTTTTTTTTTTTCTTTTTTAGTTTCCTTTCTTTCCTGATTTTTTACTTCTTATTCTCCTTCTTTTTCTTTTGATTTTTGATTCTTATTATTTCATATCCTTTTTTATTCTCTTTTTAAGTTCTGTATATATTTCCACTCTTTTTACCTATTTCTTCAGGATTAACTTTTAATTTTTCCTTGACTTGTTTTTATTCTAATGTTGATTTTTACTCAAAACCTTTCGAAACTCTTCTTCCCTGATAACTTTTTATCTTAACACTTTTCTTTTTACTCTTGTTAAAAACTAATATTATTGTGTTTTATATAACATAAGAATACTACGAAGTGTTTTCTTGATTTGAAATCCCAAAAAAAGGTGATAACTCATTTAGAATAGAATGACAAAGACTTCTATTCTTTTTTATTTCTCTCTTAGAATCATTGTTTTGGTCTATTTTTTAATTTTTTTTAATTAAACTTGATTCATAAAAAGTAAACAAGTTATTTTTTACTATTTTACTTTATCTTCAATTTGTGTTATCAGAATTATTTGATGATGAAATACCGTTTTAGATGTTGTTGGCTGTCGTCTTAAATACCATTATTTCTGTAGTTTCTATTTACTCAATAATTTGGCTTCGTTAAGAATTTTTGTTTCAAAATATATCATTTCATATTGAAAGTTCAAAACACTATTTTAAATTTATCATCAACATGAATGAAATATTTTGTTATTAGAAACTAATTTTAAATACATTTTTTGTGTATCATTATTTAACAAAACAATAATAAGCAGCAGTTTAAAAAATATATTTTCACAACCAGTCATCTCTTCTTCTCTTTGTAAAAAAAGAAACCATTAAATGGAAATATAATAAACACTAACCACCATACTCAATTGGACATTCTCATCTGTAAGATTTTTGGTATTTAGCACGAGCTCCTGGTCCTCCGAACTTCTTGGCTTCACACCTTCTTGGATCAGCAACAAGAAGAGTTCTATCATATTCAAGGAATTTTGTTTTGAGTTCATTCTTTGTAGTTTCGTCAACAAACTTTTGGTTGTAAGCAATAAGAGCCTTGGCAATGGCTTGTCTAATGGCATATGCTTGTGCAACTTGTCCACCACCAGTGACTCTAATCTTAAGATCTAGTTTAGCATAATTTTCTTTGCCAACAATGAATAATGGTTCAAATACTTTAATTCTTAATACTGGTGGGTTGATAAGATCGAGTGGAACACCATTAACTCTAATCATACCTTTTCCTTCTTTACAAAGACAAACAGCAATGGCAGTCTTTTTCTTTCCAAAAACTTGAACACTCTTAAGAGCCTCAGTATGTTTCTTTTGAGTTTTACCGGTGGCTTTAACAGTTGCCGACATTAATATAAAAATGGGTTAGTTCTCGTAAAGGGTTTCTTTTTTTCTTTTTTTCTAATATTTTTATAATTTTTTATTATAATTTAATGTGTTCATTCTTGTATTTTCTTCTGATACATTATTTTCTTATATCTCCATTAGATGGAAAACATACAATTTATCTCTGATTTACATCTGGATGAACCCTTCTGTTCAGAATATTTCCAGTCACACCCAATTCGTGTTATGGCTAAATACCTTGTTGTTAGTGGTGATTTGTGTGACCATGACTCTTTAAATAATGTTCAATGGTTTTTTGATTGGTGTAGTATAAATTATGAACAAACATACATTCTTTATGGCAACCATGACTGTTTCGGCATAACTAATTTAGAACAACTAATGAGTGGTTGGAATAAAAGTGTCCGCTCAAATGTTCATTATGTAAATAACTCTAACATACTGATCAATTCAACAGAACTGTTCTTCACTACATTATGGAGTGAGTTAGATATCAATGACAAACAATACTTGTTAAACAATGCAGTAGACTTTGATAAAATTAAATACAACAACTCTACATCACTTTCATTTGAACTTTATAACTATGTTCATACTGTTTGTAGAAATTGGTTAAAAGAAAAGATACAAAATTCTAGAGCCCAATACAAAATCGTATTTTCTCATCACTGCCCAACAACGTCATTGTCTAAAAAAAAAGACTCTCTATTTAGTCTGTTTAGAAGTAATGACGAAGATTTAATGAAAGGAGTTAATCTTTGGGTTTATGGACATACTCATTTTAATATATCTCCAAAATGGTTTGAGGAGACATTGTTGGTATCAAACCAATTTGGCCATTTTAAAGAGAAAGATCATACTGGCTGGAACCCTCAACAAACAACTAATTCTGTATGTCAGAGAGAACTCAAATCACTTTACAAGGAATAATTAAGAATGTCTTTCTCTTTCTTGTTTGTTTTAAAAATCATTTAGAATTGGTACAATATAAAGTTATTCACTATTATTTTTTCATATGTCACAATCAAGTTATTACGATGTTGTCATTATTGGAGCTGGTTGCGTTGGTGCTTGTTGTGCTATGGAATTGTCTAAATACAAGAGTCTTAAGATTGCCTTGTTAGAAAAGGCTAGAGATGTTTCTAATGGAGCTACTTCTGCTAACTCTGGTATTGTTCATTGTGGTATTGACACTACATTAGAAACTTTGAAAGGAAGACTTGTAGTAAGAGGAAACACTCTTATCCATGAACTCCAACCAAAACTTAACTTTGGTCTTACTACTTGTGGGGAGTTGATGGTTGCTAAAACTGATGAAGAAATACCTAATTTAAATAAATACATGGAAATTGCTAAAACTAAAAACGTTCCAGTTGAATTATGGGATTATGAAAGAATTCATAAAGAAGAACCAAATTTGAGTGAAAACATTAAGAAAGCTATTT